GGTGGAGTAGACCTCGGGAGCGAGGCGCTGCGCGCACGCCTATCCGTGTGGAGTGCGAAGCGGATGGGGCGCGCCGGCCCAGCCCAGCGCCGCGGCGTGCCCAGGGGAGGGCCCGAAGGAATACCTGCCGTTTAGGTTGCTCAGACAGGTCTTAACCCGGCGTGGAAGGAGAGCCCATTTCGAGGAAACGGCGATTAATCTGAAAGGGACTCCTCAAGGTAAACTGCCCCTGAGACTTCCTGGCCGTCTCCGCACTCCTGCCCACTCTCCCTCCTCGCGCGCACTTCGGACGCGCCCGGCCCCTGGGCTGAAAAGCCGGCTGCCGGCGCTGGAGCCTACCAACTCGAGGGCGGCGGGGGGCCGAGGGTGGGAGGCGTGGCTACGGGATCTCCTACACCGGGCGCGCACCCTGCCGCGGTGCCCGCTGGGAAGTGAAGTCCAGTCCCTTAGAGAGGCTAAGCCCGCCGTGGGGCGGCCTCCCTCTGGCCTCCGGGGGCTTTTCTTCCCGTCTCACGGGACCCGGGGGCCGAAACCTGGCCCTGGGTCTTCCGGGTTGTGCCCTGTCTTTCAGATGCCGAGGGCAAAACTAGGGCATGTGCCGTTCCCCTCGCAAGGGAGGTGCGCGGCTGGGCGTGAGCTCTGAGATGCAACACCTCCCCCGCGGAAAGACAGCCCGAGCCCACCTGCAGTATTAGAGGGGGAGGGGGCGTCCAGGCCTGAGCACTCCATTTACCCGTGCACCCAGTGGGCTAGTGAAAGGAGGCCCCCTCGCTGCCAAGGCTGTCCCTTGTGACTTGTCTCCCTCCTGAGTCTGGAGGTGGGTCCCTAAAGGGCGCAGGCTTCTTCCTCTACTGCCGTGTCCCCACCCTCAATCCAGAAATTGGTTTTTCTCATTCTGTATTCGTTTTGATCTTCCTGTTCAAACAGTGGCAGACCTATCAGCGAGGCGGCCCTGGGGCATTTATGGTCAAGCCTCAGAGTGACAGTGGAGAATTTCTCTCGGGGCCCTGTGGGGAAAACAGGAAGTGGTGGAGGCAGGGTGGGCAGGGCCCTGGAGAACCTTGTTCAAAGCGGCCCCCAGGTCCCTCCGCTCGGTGGGGTCAGCGTGGTCTTCAGATGGAGCACAGCTTTAGCAGGCCCCCCGCTGCCCAGCAGCCAGGAAACTCCCAACCCTTTGACTGTCCTTTAATGCCACAAGAAAATTTCCTTGCCCAGCTCCCAGGAATGTTTGCCCTTCTCAGTCTGCACCGCCAGGCAGCCACTGGGCCTCGGCCATCCGGCCCAGAAAACAAGATACGGGGGAGAAGTCATTCATGCACATCCCAGATCTCGGAGAGCAGCGGGGGAAGCTTTTTGTCCTGCAGGCGTAGGGCAAACACTTGCTCTGAGTGAACGCTGCTCAGGGTCCGGAGGCTCACCAGTTTCATTAACATCCGTGGGAACATGAGTCGGTCCTGAGGAAAGGAGAAGGACAAGTCCAGCCTTTGCATCTCCCCAGGGAAGGGGGACCAGGGCAGGGAAGCTGTGGGAGAGGTGAAGAATTGTCTGTGCACAATGCAGTCAGAGAGGGATTCTTGAAGGGTAAGTGCGTGTGCCAGGGAACGGGCACCTCGGGGATACTCACATGGGGGTGGTGGATGGAAACGTAGGCATGCAGGGCCTCCACATATGTGTGTTGCAGCCGCTCTACCTGGAGCTGGTCCTGCACGTTGGGCCGGTCTATAGGTCACCAACAGAGTTGAGGAGCAGGTCTGGCCAAGGTCTTGGTTCCATACCCCAAATCATTACCAAAAATAGAGGCATACCCCACCCAACCTCTCCCATTCCAAAATAACACAGCAAAGGCGGCCACCTCCCCTCACCCCACGACTCTTGCCCTGGGGGACCTGCAGCCTTCCTTGGTGCAGATCTCCTGCTTGGTTTCCCTTCCCCTTCCTCCGCACCTGCAGAGAAGATGCTGATGGCAATGAGCAAAGCAAACTCGGCATCATTGAGCTGCAGCTCATTCATGGCTCTGGAGAACTCGAAGATGGGATTGATGAATTCCACCTGCAGCCCTGGGGAAGAAGGGAGGCTGAGGCGTGGGGCAGGAGGGGCAGGAACTTCCTTCTCTCCTCCGACTCCTCAACTTAGGGAATACTAGGAATTCACTAGGAAGTCTCCAGGGCCTGCTGTGTAACCTTGAGCAAGTGTCTTCACCTCTCTGAGCCTCATCTGTGAAATGGAAATCATACCCGAACATATCTCATAAGGGGATATTGTTGTGATGAGCCGTGCTCGGTGGCTCTGCCTGTAATCCCGCGCCTTTGGGAGGCTGAGGTAAGTGGATTGCCTGATCCCGCGGGTTCGAGACCCACCTGGGCAACTTGGCGAAACCTCATCTCCACAATAAATAAAAAATGAGCCAAGTGTGGTAGCACGCGCCTGTAGTTCCAGCTACTCAGAAGGCTGAGGCGGAAGGATCGCCAGAGCCCAGCAGGTCGAGGCTGCGGTGGCTGGGAGCGGCCACTGCACTCCAGTCTGGGTGACAGAGTGAGACTCCAACTCAAAAAAAAAAAAAAAAAAAAGATTGTTGTGATGGTTCAATGATAAAGCATGCAAAACACTTAGCGCTGTGTCTGCATAGAGGAGGTGCTGAATTAAATGACAATAATGTCGTTATTCTTATTAGAATTCTTGAGGGCCCCGCATTTCTAAAGTAGAGGCTACTCCTTTGTTTTTAAAGAATCCTTTTTCACTAGCAATTGGCCTTACTTGTTTGAATACTAGAGATACAGTTCATGTGAGATACAGTTCATGTATCTCATCTTAGAGAGAAAGAATATAGCAGTACAGTTGAGGGTGTGGACTCCAGTGCCAGACTGCCTGGGTTTGAGTTCTGGCTCTATCATGTACTAGGCTGTGTGACCTAGGGTAAGTTACTTAGCCTCTCTGGACCTTGATTTTCCCACCTGTAAAAGGGAAATAATAATATCTACCTCGTAAGGCCCTTTGAATAATACGTATCATATATGGTAACTACCACATAAGTGTTTGATAAATAAATAAGTCTTTTTTAATGGAATCAGTCTTCTTGCTGAGAAGACTAAAATATAGCCAACCATGACCTAAAGTCATGACACAGAGAGAACACATCTCTCATACACATTGTTAAAGTCTCTGCTCCTCACACTGTTCCCTAGGCTTTGTCAGATTTCTTTCTATTCTTCTTTTTTTAAAGTCAGAGTCGTACTTTGTCATCCAGACTGGAGAGCAGTGACACAACCACAGCTCACTACAGCCTTGACCTCCCGGGCTCAGGGAATCCTTCTGCCTCAGCTTCCTGAGTAGCTAGGACTATAGGCGCGCCACCATGCCTGACTAATTTTTAAATTTTTTTGTAGAAATGAGGTCTCACTATTGCCTAGGCTGGTCTCAAACTCCTGGCCTCAAGTGATCCTCCTGCCTCGGCCTCTCAAAGTGCTGAGATTACAGGCATGAGCCACTGTGCCTGGCCTTTGTCAGTCTTTTTTTTTTTTTTTTTGAGTTGGAGTCTTACTCCGTCACCCAAACTGGAGTGCAGTGGCACTCTCCCAGCCACCGCACCCTCAATCTGCTGGGCTCTGGCAATCCTTCCGCCTCAGCCTTCCAAGTAGCTGGAACTACAGGTACGTGCTACCACGCCCCGCTAATTTTTGATTTATTGTAGAGATGAGGTCTTGTGAAGTTGCCCAGGCGGGTCTCGAACTCGCGGGCTCAGGCAATCCACTCACCTTGGCCTCCCAAAGCGCGGGATTACAGGCATGAGCCACCCCGCCTGACCTTTGTCAGGTTTTGTTTTGTTTTGTTTTGAGTTGGAGTCTCACTCTGTCACCCAGACTGGAGTGCATTGGCACGCTCCTGGCCACTGCAACCTCGACCTGCTGGGGTCTGGCAATCCTTCCGCCTCAGTCTTCCAAGCAGCTGGAACTACAGGCACACACTACCATGCCCCGCTAATTTTTTATTTATTGTAGAGATGAGGTCTTGCCAAGTTGCTCGGACGGGTTTCGAACCCAGGGGCTCAGGCAATCCACTCACCTCGGCCTCCCAAAGGGCTGGAATTATAGGCTGAGCCACCGAGCCGGCCGTCAAATTTCTTTTAGCAACCATCTGCTACACTTTTCCATTCGAGACTTCTTGATTAGTCATCTCCTGTACTTTCACCCTGATGTTTATCAGGCGTTCTGTGTTGATCCATTTAATGGACAAGGCCTATTTTACAAAGCATGTCTTGGTGAAGTTTTGAGCCCAAAAAAACCCCAATATATAGAGATTAAGAGGAGGTTCTAGAATTAGAATTATGCACTTGTAAGGGTCTCTGAATGGACACCTCAGATGCACTCAGTTCATGTCATTAGTCATCTACCACACAGAGGGAGGAAGGAGATTGTTATTTCTTCCCAAGACCTCACTGATGAAAGGAGAAATGAAAGGCAAACATGATGACAAAAAAAAAAAAAAAAGATGATAAAACTGCTTATATAAATAAATCTATAAATAGGTACAGATTCAGATAGCACCAGTCCATGAATGCTGAAGAAACACAGAAACATCAGAACTGGAAAAGGTTCAGAATGGAGGACATTCCGAAGGAGGAGAAGGCCATGATTAAGAAGGTCTGGGATGCCAGGCACGGTGGCTCAAGCCTGTAATCCCAGCACTTTGGGATGCTGAGGCAAGAGGATTACCTAAGCTCAGGGGTTCGAGACCAGCCTTAGCAACTTGGTGAGACCTCATCTCTACAATAAATCAAAAAATAAGCCAGGCATGGAAGCGTGTGCCTATAGTTCCAGCTACTTGGAAGGCTGAGGTGGAAGGATTGCCTGAGCCCAGCAGGTCGAGGCTGCAGTGGCCATGAGCGTGCCACTGCACTCCAGCCTGGGTGACTGAGTGAGATTCCAATTTAAAAAAAGAAGATCCGGAATAATAACCACTGGAGAAAAGGTGGTTTGATAGATAAAGAGGGCAGCAGGGTTGGGCTTTAAAGCTGGATAAAGACATCAAATCACCCCATTAGGTACCTATATTTCAGGCAGCACACTGGACACTTTGAAAGCCAAGGATTGCTAACACAGCCCTGTCGTGCCCTACAGTTAAGGGAGGCCCTCCTAGAAAGCTCTGGGTGGCCTATGTTGGAACAAGGGAAGAGTTTATGACTCTGGCCTGGACAGATCTACCAACCCTAAGAATGGAGTCACAGCATCAGCCATATTTCACAGACATAGTCACTCAATTGTTAAGCTACTCAGTCTCCTGCTAAGACTCAGTTCCATTCCCCCCAAACTCCTCCAGCCCCCCATCCTTCCCAGCTCTGCTCCCATAACACAGACATTACCAACTATTGAACATAAGGAAACCCCTCTGCTTAGCCCTCAAGCAAGCATCAGAAAGCTGCAATGTGAGATAGTTTTTGGAGAAAAGACTTCAGACATAGGATAGGGATAAAAACTACATTCACTCTTAGCTTATAACTGCCCCATCTGGGCATGGCTCCTGCGTGGCAACTCCAGTTCTCCAGTTTATCAGACAGTGCAGTTGAAAAGGGAGGGGAAATCAGCCCCCCAAGAGCTTCAAAGAGCACATCTGAGAAAGATGTGTTCATTTTCTTTTTTACTACTAAAAGGCTTGGTGCGGTGGTTTTCTTTTTCTTTTTCTTTTTTTGAGTTGGAGTCTCACTCTGTCACCCAGGCTGGAGTGCAGTGGCACACTCACAGCCTCGTACTGCTGGGCTCAGGCGATCCATCTGCCACAGCCTTCCAAGTAGCGGGATCTACAGATGCACACCACCATGCCCTGCTAATTTTTGTGATTTATTGTAGAGACGAGGTCTCACCAAGTTGCCCAGGCTGGTCTTGAATCCCCGAGCTCAAGCAATCCTCTTGCCTCGGCCTCCCAATGTGCTGGGATTATAGGCTGAGCCACCGTGCCTGACCGGTGCAGTGGTTTTCAACCTCTCTTTTCTAGCTGTAAAATCTTTTCTTTAAGCAAAATTTTAAGCAGAAGCACAATATATAATGCAGATTTTTTTTTTTTTTAGTTGGAGTCTCACTCTCATTCAGTCTGGAGTGCAGTGGCATGCTCATGGCCACCGCAGCCTCAACCTGCTGGACTCCGGCAATCCTTCCACCTCAGCCTTCCAAGTAGCTGAAACTACAGGCATGCGCTACCATGCCCAGCTAATATTTTGATTTATTATAGAGACAAGGTCTCACCAAGTTGCCCAGGCTGGTCTCAAGCCCCTGGGCTCAGGCAGTCCTCTCACCTCAGCCTCCCAAAGTAGTGGGATTACAGGCTTGAGCTACGGTGCCCAGCCTAGATTTTTTTTTTTTTTGAGTAGTAGTCTTACTCTGTTGCCCAGCCTAGAGTGCAGTGGCATGATCATGGCTTACTGCAGCCTACAATTCCCCAGTAGCTAAGACTGCAGGCACACACCACCACGCCCCACTGATTTTTAAATTTTTTGTAGAGATGAGGTCTTTCTATGTTTTCCAGACCAATCTCAAACCCCTGGGCTCAGACAGTCCTTCTGCCTCGGCCTCCCAAAGTGCTGGGATTACAGGCATGAGCCAGGCCTATTGTTGTGTCAGACATCAAGAAGCCCACTGGTGCTCTGGGCACAGATTTAAGTGGGGCTTCTTGTATGGCTAAAGCATAGATAAAGGACATTCTCTTCCAAGGTGACATTTTATAAACCCCCCAGGTTGCTTGGAACACAATTTGAAAACCCTCTGACCTACAGCCCCAGACGATGGGGTCTATTTGGAGCAGTGGAGAGAGGCCAGTCAACATTCCAGTTTTCTGTCTTCAAAAAACAAGTGGAAGCCTTCCCTTTTCAGCCACCTAAACCTTGGGTCTTTGGCTCTATGGTCACTATGGGCCCGTGACAAAAAGCATCTGTCCATCCAACTCTCATCCCTTTGTGATCTCAGTTCTTACCTGCTTTGGCAAAGTCTTCCCGGTTATAACTAAAATCCTTGAGGAAAGTGATGCTTTCACTCCCAGGGTTGTACCTCCGAGATGTCTCCAGAAGCATCACCTGCACCCAAGCAGCAAGACCTCAGACAGGGACTAGGAGGGCAGATCTTGGCACACAGCACCCTCAAGGGAAGGGCGAGTCCCCTCATCCCTGCTTCCCAGGGAATCTGGCCCTCCTAGTTGGGCGTCTGGAGGCCCCTCCCGTGGGTAATCCCATTCCAGTTTTCCCTTCATCCCTCGCCCTTTCCAGCCACCTCGATGGCAGAGGTCTTCAGTAGAGCGATCTGGTCCTCCCGGCTGAGCTGCAGGAAGCCAGGTAGCTGCTTGGCAAAGTCAGCGATCTCCTGAACGGAGACAATGGCCAGCTCCGTGAAGTGGGCAAAGCGCTGCTGACGGGCCTCCCGGCTCTGGGGGTCTGGTGCCATGGGCCAAGGCTACCCAGGAGCAGAGGGAGGGAGGCAAGAGGCAGACCGTACTGAGTCAGACATGGAGAAGCACACCGGTGCTCCAGGCACAGGCTCCTCTCCCCAGATCCGCTAAGTACCGTGACTCGAAGCCGGTCGGAAAAGGAGCGCCTGTTGCACTGTTGCTGGGCAGCGACCAGCTTCTCAATCATGCCCCGCTGTTCCGGGCTGAGCTGGGGCAGGACTTGGGGAGGGGAGGAAGCCCTCGGGGGCAGGGACGTGGCCTGAGCCTGTTCCTCCTCTTGCCGCTTCAGTTTCTTCAGGCGGATCTGTTCTTCTGACAGGACACCTAAGAACAGGGCCAGACGTGAGGGGGGTGGGAGCAGGAAGCAAGGAAGGGGCAGCAGAGATGGTCTGGGACTCCCGCAAAGCAGGTGTTGGGTAAAGGCAAGGAAGAGATGGGAACTCACACGGGTCCCGCGAGCCCCTGCAGGCTCAAGCACCTGTCTGCCCTCACCCCGGCCCCCTTCGGCCTCTCCCCCCTCTGCCCAGACACTCACACTCCTCCCGCATGCCAGCCAGGCGGCATTTGCGCAGTCGACACTCCTGGCACTTGCGACGCATGTAGGTGTCCATGGGGCAGTGGCCACCGCTGTGGCAGATGTAGCGCGCACCCTTGATGACACTGCGGCGGAAGAAGCCCTTGCAGCCCTCGCAGCTCAGCACGTTGTAGTGGAAACCAGAGGCCTTGTCCCCACACACGCTGCACAGCTCGTTTCCCAGCATTTTGGGGGCCGGCCCCTTTTTCCGCTTTTGTGGACGGAGCTCTGGATACAGGGAAGAGCCTTAACTTTCTCCTCCGAGGAGAAGGCTTAGTGTTCCCCCGACGTGACCACTGCCCTTGGTACTCAGTGACCTTCATTCCCTTCCTTAAGAATAGTAGCTCTCAGCTGGGCTCGGTGGCTCAGCCTGTAATGCCGCGCTTTGGGAGGCTGAGGTGAGTGGATTGCCTGAGCCTGCGGGTTCAAGACCCGCCTGGGCAACTTGGCCAGACCTCATCTCTACAATAAATAAAAAAAAAATCAGCCGGGCGTGGTAGCGTGCGCCTGTAGTTTTAGCTACTTGAAGCCTGAGGCGTAAGGATCGCCGGAGCCCAGCAGGTCGAGGCTGCGGTGGCCGGGAACGGCCACTGCACTCCAGTCTGGGCAACAGAGTGAGACCCCTACTCAAAAAACAAAACAAAACAAAACAAAATAATAGTAGCTCTCAGCTGGGCTCAGTGGCTCAGCCTGTCATCCCAGCACTTTGGGAGGCCGAGGCGAGTGGACTGCCTGAGCCTGTGGGTTCAAGACCAGCCTGGGCAACTTGGCGAGACCTTGTCTTTACAATAAATAAAAAATTAGCTGGGCGTGGAGCCCAGCAGGTCGATACTGGGGTGGTTGTGAGTATGCTGTTGCACTCCAGCCTGGGTGACAGAGTGAGACTCCAACGCAAAAAAAAAAAAAAAGAATAGTAGCTCTCGGCAGACAACAGACACTCTCGTTGCTATCTTGCCTGTTGTGCCCTTCACGGTGTTTCTTTCCTTTAATAAATCTATCTTTCTAGGCCGGGTTCGGTGGCTCAGCCTGTAATCCCGGCACTTTGGGAGGCCGAGGTGAGTGGAATGCCTGAGCCCACAGGTTCGAGACCTGCCTGGGCAACTTGGCGAGACCTCATCTCTACAATAAATCAAAAACTAGCCAGGCATGGTAGCGTGCACCTGTAGTTCCAGCTACTTGGAAGGCTGAGGCGGAAGGATTGCCAGAGCCCAGCAGGCCGAGGCTGCGGTGGCCAGGAGCGGCCACTGCACTCCAGTCTGGGTGACAGAGTGAGACTCCAACTCAAAAAAAAAATAAATAAAATAAAAATAAAGAAAATAAATCTATCTTAATTAAAGAAAAAAGAAAGAACAGTAACTCTCATTGACCAAGTGCCATTATGTCCTGGATACTGTCTGAGCCCCTTTATATGCATTGATCCTTACGACAATCATAATTATTATTTACATTTTACAAACAAGGAAATTGAGGTTCCGAAAGGCCTAAGATAGAGATAACATTCACACTCAGACCACTCCAAAGACTTCAGCCTTAACCATCATATTATAAAGAGCCCCAAGGAACCTCTCCCAGATCCAGGGAGACCCTACCTCCTCCAAACCCAGAAGTTCCTCACCTGTCGATTCTGGCAGGGTCTCCACCCTGGGGAGCAGGGCCGTGGGCTCTGATGCCTCCAGCCCCACCCTCGAAGTCCCCCCAGCAGACTGGAGCATCCTGACTTCCTCTTGGAGCATGCAGTTGCCACCTCGCTGGGCCTGGTTCCTTTCATCTCGTGCATCTAGCTCCCACAGGTGCACTGCAGGATCTGAGCCCCCAAAGAGAGAGGATCTCAGGTCCCAGCCTGGCTCCACGTCCCCAGCATCCTAGCTGGGAAGCCGAAACATCCCCACCCTTAGAAGGCAGCAAAGTCCCAGTGAAGGCTTTGAGACCCCAGGGTTTGTTTGGGTCCCAGAACTGGCCACTTGTAGTCCCTTGCACCGCAGTATCTTTTTTTTTTTTTTTTTTTTGAGTTGGAGTCTCTCTCGGTCGCCCAGACTGGAGTGCAGTGGCTGCTCCCGGCCACCGCAGCCTCGCCTGCTGGGCTCCAGCGATCCTTTTGCCTCAGCCTTCCGAGGAGCCAGAATTACAGGCACGCGCTACCACACCCGGCTGATTTTTTGATTGATTGTAGAGATGAGGTCTCGCTGTCCAGGCGGGTCTCGAACCCGCGGACTCAGGCAATCCACTCACCTCAGCCTCCCAAAGGCGCGGGATTACAGGCTGAGCCACCGAGCCCGGCTGCAGTATCTTAAATGAAAATGTTAACCTCTGTATCCTCAGGGGGCTGGTGTGCATCCATTTCAGAGATCAGACAGAACCTTTCAAAGCCAGTGTGGGTAAGTACTAGCATGCCAACTCTCCCCAGCAGCAAGCCCAGATTGGGGAGGACTGGGCAGGCATGTGAGGGCGAGGCCCCAGAGCCAGGGCAGAGGTGATCTGGGCAGGAGGCAAGCAAGGCTAAGAGTGGCCCTGGACTGCTCTCGAGGAGGGCAGAACGTAGGTAATGAAGGAGAATGACTCCTAAGAGAGCAGAGGAGTCTGCATTCGGGGCTCAGCAGAGAGGGCTGGAATGAAGAAGCTTACCAGGAGAAACGTCAGGCACAGGGGCCCCCAGCCACAAGGACATCTCTTCCTGGAGCCCTGGACATTACCAAGGCACTGTCCTGAAGGAAGGAGTTGGGTTACACACACCTTTCTGGCCTCGGCTCCCTCATCTTGATCCTGCCTTTTATCAACATTATCAGCTCAGTTACTTGCCATATATTAGTCTGTTCTAAGGCTTTATATGCCTTCCTCATAATATCCCTGTGAGGTCAGGACTATTCATTTATTTTCTTGAAACAAGGTCTCACTGTGTTGCCCAGGTTGGAGTGCAGTGGCTATTCAAAGACACAATCATACCTCACTGCAGCCTCGAACTCCTGGGCTCAAGTGATCTTCCTGCCTCAAACTCCGGAGTACCTATACTACAAGTGCACGCCACCTCAGCGGCTCAGGACTATTATTAAGCCCACCTTACGGATGAGCAAACTGAGGTTCAAAGAGATGAAGTAAACTGCCTGGGGCCACACAGTTAGGCAGCGGTAGAGCCAAGACTTCAATGCTGGTCTGACTTCAAAGTCTGAGTTCCCAGCCACCATGCCGGCCTTTCTCCTCAAACGCCCCTCCACGCCGTCAGGGGGCTTGGGGGCATATCTGCCCTGCTTCTGCCGGACCCCCTTTCCCTCACCCCAGCACTGACAGGACCTGGGCAGGTTGAGACGGCAGGCTCACTCTACCCAGGGCAACAAGCTGCTTGTCAGAGAACCTCACTCCTCACAATTTCCAGGGTCCTGGCAACAAACCTCTCATCGTCAAGTCTCCCAAATTCGTATATAAGACCTCCTCCCCCAGACCCCCATGAGTGATTCTGGACCTAAACAGAATCCTGCCATCGCCATCACCCCTCACTTCTCCCCAGAGACCCCCTCCTAGGACCCTTAGGGCATCTCCCACCCCACCCCAGACAGACACACAGAGCCCCAAGCCACTGCGGAGGAGCAGACCCACCGAGTCCCCAGGCCACCGACTTCCTGGCGGGGCAGTCTCTGGAGCCCCCTTGCTGGGAGAAGAGGATGGTGCAGTCCCCTGTCCAGAGGCCTCGGTGGCAGCCGGCGAGCTGGAGCGGAGCACAGAAGGGACCTGGAGTCCCAGGGACGTTGCGAGGTGGGGAAAGGCGGAGAGAAGGGACTGCCAAGGCAGACCCAGAGGCGACCGAAGCCCAGGCCTCCTCGGTGCCCGCCCACAGGGCAGCTTCCCCACCGGGCTGACTCCTCCCCAGCTGGCCACCCCCTCAGCCAGCGCCACCCCTGCCCCCTACTCCGTCAGGACAGTCTCGCTTCCCTGCAGACCGGCCGAGCGCCACGGCGCTCCCCTTCCTCTCCTCGCCCGGCAACTCTTAGCTGCTCTTTGAGGACTGCCTCCCAGGCACCCCCACCCCAATCCCAGCAGCCTCCAGAGTCAGCGTTCCCTCCCCTCCATAGACACCTCGCGGAGCAAAGGTCCCGGCACAGCCCGGAATTGCAACACCGAGCCCCAGCCTGCTTTCCCAGCCTCCCTCCTCCTCTCCTGCCTCTGGGAAGGGGCCAAGAAGCTCTCCCCACCAGCCCCAGGCCTCAGCCAAGCTGACAGAACTCCAGAGGTGGAGAGAGGCAGGTGCTGGGCCTTCCAGGGAGTTTTTGTATGTGGGTGCCTTGCAAGGACCACAGAAAGAGGAGGAGGCCAGGGCAGTCGGGCTGATAGGAAGTCTGCTATGAGCGACAGCAGGCCTGGGATAGGGGTGGGGGTGGCAGAAGGCAGGCAATCCAGGTGCCAGCCCAGGATGGACTTGGAAAGGCATGCAGGTTGCCTCATCTAGGGAACAGTCCCATCGGAAGTGACGGCAGGCTCCATCCAGCATCTACTGAGACTATAGTCATGATCTTTCTGCCCTGCTGCCAGGGGCATGAAATCTATCCCTGAAGGTAGACACCATGTTTTATTGCTTTGATCTCCCGCAACCTCTGGAACAAAGGACCGGCACAAGGAGGCCACAGAGTAGTCACTATGCTTCTGCTTGTTGAATGGATAAGTAAACAAGAAAATATGATCATCTATCCCATTCTTGTAAGCTCTAGTCTATTTCAACTCAGCATGTTGATTTGGTGTTCAGGCTCCAGGCTCAGATTTTGAGTTCAAATCCTGCCTCTGCCTCTTATTACCTGTGTGATCATAAGTTATTTCATGTCTCTGGGCCTATGTTTCTCTATCTTTAAAACAGGGATAACAATAATTGTCTTTGTCACATAAGGTTGCTGTGAGAATGAAACAGTGGATCATAGCACATGTGGCACACAGCAAGTATTCCCGAAATAGCAGCCGCTATCATTATACTTCCAACCCTGTCAGCTGTGGGTCTTCCCATCACCTTGGTTACTGTTAACTCTGTGCTTGTTCCCACGTACAGGACAAACCTCTTACTATCTTGTCTGGTCCTTAGAGCAGCATCTACTGAGACTATAGGGGTGGGAGGGAATGTAACCTGAGTTCCATTTGACAGAGAACACTGAAGCTCATGTGAGGGCCTCTTCCAAGACCACACAGTTAGTGGCCAAGCTGGGATCAGAACCCAGATATCCTCACTCCAGGCCCTGTGTTCTTTTTGTGCTGTGTCAGAGTCCAGGGCAACCTTGTCTTGCTGCCTCTAGGGTCTGATGGGCCAGTGAAGTGCTCAGATGGAAGGAGCCAGGGTTGGTGGGAAAGGCTGAATCCTGCAGATGCTTCAGTCCAGATGTGGGAGGCAAGGAGCTGAGGTTACTGCTGGTCGTTCACCCCCTGCCCCATTCCCAATTTCCTGCTCATGGGCTCTTCCTGTTTTGCTGTGAACTCCAGTTCCCATGGGCCCCACATAAAAGCAAAGAAGGATAGGAGGCCAGGGCAGGCGGCCAGAGGGACCGAAACAGAAATGAACGGGGCACCAGCGAAGAGAACAGAGGAAAGAGGGAGAGGGTGGATATAGGCTGTGGGGGTGGGACAGCAGGAGCAGGATGAGAAAAGGAAGGGAAGGTTGGACCACAGGGAGCCTGGTGTGAGACAGGAGGAAGCACAGGGCGGGACAGGGGAACAGGCAGGGGTTGGGGAACTGATTTGAGAAGACAGCAGGATGGGTGGTATTACAAAATCTGCCCATGTATTCATTCTCACATTTCAGAAAAGCCCCTGTGACACCCCCATCTCAAGCTTTGCCTCCAGGGTTTGCTCTTGTTCCCCCTCATACCAAGCTCCCACCCGCGAGGTCCCCGCCCTGGTCTGGACAGCTCTGAGTCATGAGCACAAGGCTTGCCAGTCCTCTCACGTGTTCCTTCTCCAATTTTCACAAGGCCCCAGCTGTCCTGGGAAAGTAGAAATCAGGGGCCCCAGCACCCGCATCAGGGATCCAGCTCCCTCCTTCCTCGTCTCTCCCTGCCAGAAGCTCGGGCTCAGCTGCAAAGTCAGAGATGTCCTGGAGACACCTGGTTTCCAGGAACTTGGGATGGAAACATTAGTCTGGGGCCTGGTGCTGTATCTCCTGGGAGCTGGGAAAGCTTCCTTCAGCAACCTGTTCCTCAACTCTCTCTTCTGACACCCAGATCTTCCCATAGGTGGCTTCCCAGGACTCGCAAGCCCCATCTGGAGCCCTCAGACCCAGGCTAGAGCCAACTGTCAAACAAGTAGGTCTGGGCACCAACTCTCCCAAGCCAGAGAGTCAGCCTCAGCCTTGTCTCATGGAGATGAAGTGTTACCAGTGCTCCACTGCCAGGGCTACCCCATCAAGAGACAGGGAGCTGAGGACCCCCACAAAGAGGAGAGAGGAAAATGGGAGAAGACCAAAACCTGCTGGCAATATTTTCACGGAGTTTCTGGGGACCAACCACTGAGAATTCTGTCCCAAGCCAGGAAACGCAGGCACATGATTAAGTGGCTGGAATCACATGTCTCACTAGGCCAGCCCCATCCCCATGGCATAGTCCCACCAGCCCACAGGTGGTGTTAGTCCAAAGCTCACAGTCCTGTGTACCTTTCCTGTTTCCTTGGCTCTTACAGGAGGTAACATCCTGGCAAAACCCTCAGGAATCTATCAAATCACATTTCTGATCCCCAGAACTTCCAGAGGCTCTTGCAGCAAGGAAAACCTTAAAGAAGAAACAGAAGCATTCACCAGCCTATAGTCATACATATTACTTACCCTGAAAGCACTCATTCCCAAGCAGCAGGGCACAAGGTAAGGTCTGCAGGCATGAGTTGGAGTGGCACTCTGTCGCCCAGACTGGAGTGCAGTGGTGCAGTGGCCACTCCTGGTCACTGCAGCCTTGACCTGCTGGGCTCCAGCGATCCTTCTGCCTCAGCCTTCCGAGTAGCCAGAATTACAGGTGCGTGCTACCACGTCCAGCTAGTTTTTGATTTATTGTAGAGACGAGGTCTCGCCAACTTGCCCAGGTGGGTCTCAAACCAGTGGGATCAGGCAATCCACTCTCCTCGGCCTCCCAAAGTCCTGGGATTGCAGGCTAAGCCACCGAGCCCGGCTCAAAAAAATTTTTTTAAATTAGTCAGGCGTGGTGGTATGCCTATAGTCCCAGCTACTTGGAAGGCTGAGACGGAAATATCAACTGAGCCCACGAGGTCAAGGCTGAGGTGAGCTGTGATCATGCCACTGCACTGCAGCCTGGGTGACAGAGTGAGACCTCTACTCAAAAAATAAAATCACCCACAAAAACCACCTCACGGGCAACCCTCTCGGGTCCCCTCCCACTGTGGGAGCTTTTCCGTCCTCTCAATAAATCTTGCTTTCAGCCGGGCTTGGTGGCTCAGCCTGTAATCCTGCACCCTTGGGGGGCTGAGGTGAGTGGATTGCTTGAGCCCGCGGGTTCAAGACCCGCCTGGGCAACTTGGTGAGACTTTATCTCTACAATAAATCAAAATGAGCCGGGCGTGATAGCGTGCGCCTGTAGTTCCAGCTACTTGGAAGGCTGAGGCAGAAGGATCGCCAGAGCCCAGCAAGTCGAGGCTGGGGTGACCGGGAGCAGCCACTGTACTCCAGTTTGGGTGACAGAGTGAGACTCCAACTCAAAAAATAAATAAATAAATCCTGCTTTAAAAAAAAAAAAAAACCCACCTCACTCCATTACACAAAACTGCCTCCTCAGATGGGGAAAATAGTTCACTTACCTGGACTTAGGTTTGTTTCTGCCAACACAGGATACAGCAGTGGTTCCCAAACCTGGCCTCATCTTTAGAGATTCTGATTTAGATGTATTTATCTATTTGGCCCATATATCCATGCACATGTCTTCTTTTTTTTTTCTTTGCATCAATACTTAGGAACCAAGGCGTGAGAACCACATAATCATCTAGCAGAAAATATGCAGAAGCTGGGGCAGGATGGGGGTGCGAAACAATATACTAGGGCTCAGCTGCAGGCCCTACATCTATTTGAGGGGTAATCCCCACCCTTCCTGGAATGATTTCTCAGTATAAAAACTGAAATAATATCTGTTGCCTCAATCCCTCCTACATGGGATAATTGCAGGCACAAAGGATATAGATATACTTGAGCAAAGAGGAAGAAAAGCAAACGATGAATTTGAGGGATTTTTGTTCTACTTGCTAAAATTTAGTGAGCCAAAGATTTACATTCTGAAAGCACAATGTTCTAGCTACTCTGCAAGGAAAGTAAGTGGCACATTAAAAACAAAACACTCAAAAACCAAAAATCCATGAATACACAGTATTTTGCCAATTAGCTATGTCTCGTTCAGTCCCACTAATGTTGAAAAGTTTCCTTTGGCCATTTGTCTGGGCTCGGTGGCTCAACCTGTAATCCCAGCACTCTGGGAGGCTGAGGCGAGTGGACTGCCTGAAACTGCGGGTTCAATATCAGCCCAGGCAACTTGGCAAGACCTCATTTCTATAATAAACCAAAAATTAGCTGGGTGTGGTAGCGTGCACCTGTAGTTCTGTCTACTTGGAAGGCTGAGGTGGAAGGATTGCCAGAGTCCAGCAGCTGAACGTTAGGGTGGCCGTGAGTGTGCCACTGCACTCCAGCCTGGGTGACAGTGAGACTCCAACTAAAAAAAAAGAAAGGTTTCCTTTGATAAGTATCTCATTATTGAAGGCATTTGGGGTCAACAAATATAGTTTGG